AGGGCCCCCCCCCCCCCCCCCTCCCTCCCCATTGGATGGTATATGGCGTGAGGACACGCCTTCCGGAGGGGAGAGTGATGTCAGACTCTGTTCCATGTTTTGTGTGTCTTGCTCCTCATGTGCCTTCCTATGACCTTATTTGGTTAGTTTCCTGTTCCTGTCCTGATTAGTTAAGTTAATTTGTCCCAGGTGTTTCCCTTGATGTTTCATTGCTCCCAGGTGTGTCTCGTCATCCCCTCCTCCTGTGTGTATTTAAAGTGTTCTCTGTCCGCTGTTAAACGTCTTCCCGAGTTTGTCTCCCTGGGTGCATGAAAATAAAGTCTTCATGCACATGTAAAGTCAACTAAAATAAAGTCAACATGACGCTGATTTGTTCCTGAATGAATCAACCGTTTAAATGATTCGGTTCAGTCGCAATGACTCCGTTATTAACAGTGACGCTGCCACCTACTGGCAGTTTTAATTTCACATTTAAAGTATCTTTTCTTTTCTTTTTTTATAATTTCAGATATCAGTATTCAACGTTTTACGTTTAAAATATCAAAACAGTATTAATGCATTTGTAATTGCAGAGTGAACAGAGTGTAAATGCATCTAAATTCCCTTTCTAATGCTGCTTCTGTTTTCTCTGCATTGCAAAGATTAATTTTGTCAATACTGATTTAATTTGCTTGGTAACAGCCCAAATGACTTAATATTCTAATTGACTGATTCAATTTAAGAATTTGACTGAAAAGATGATGCACACTTTTAGAAAAAAAAAGTCTTTATAAAGGTAAAACTGCCCATAAAAGGTAAAACATCAATTTAAACTTATTGGAAAAGATACATTTCGATCACTGATATCAGAATATCAAAAATTTTAGGAGTCAGCTGTCCATGGTAGCCCTTAAGATATCAACACAATAACACACTCAGCAAAATAACGTCTAGGTATCATTATCGATAAAATCCCAGAAAATATTGATAATTTTTTTTGTCAATGTCACACACCCCTAATATATTTAATGTTTTGTTTAGAAAAAAATTTAAATAAATATGAGAAGTGCCCTCTTTTCCACTTGAGCCCCTGCCCCTCAAAATGTGTGTGCACGTCCCTGTATATATATATATATATATATATATATATATACTGTGTATAGATAAATAACAAATATATAATAGTACATACATACACATATTTAAAACAAGAAATACTATTTGTTAATGAGGTATGAAAATTAGTTCAAAATATTTACTCTGAAAATCTATTGTTATCTGAAACAGTATTGCTTATCAAAGAAATTAATTTTGTTTTAAGAATGTTCAGTTATCTTCTACTGAAAAACAAGACAAAGTACTGATTAGAAAAATAATTTATCTTTTGTCAGTATCAGCATTAAAAAGAGCATGGACTTACCATGTAGCAACATGCTAATGTGAACCACAAGAAATATGATCTTCATATTTCAGAAGAATGGCAAAAAATAAAATAAAATCTGCCCGTTATTATTTGCTGTTGCTTCTCATTTACCGTCCATGGTCATATGTTATTTGCTGCAGAGGAGGACAGAGAGATTGCAAAAAGTCCCATAGCGGTCTGAACGTTGAGAGTGGTGGTGTGCCAGGTACAACACTGAAGGCCTGAATGTCATTCTTACGGTTTCTCTGGAACAAGAGCCGAGGTATCACATAGCATGCACACTACACACGTACACACACTTCTTTTCACTGCGGAAATACTTATGCAAGAAGAATGTGTGATTATATTATTGGAGATCTTCTGTTCTTTCCAAAAACATCTTATGTGTTATATTTTGCAGCCTTGTGAAGG